TTAATGAATGGTTTACGCGATCTCTCAAACGGAAACAGGGACAGGTTTTTTAAGGAACGATAATTATGTTATTTACGTTTCGTGGCTCGGCCGATCATATTTTCCCATTGTCAGCGCGTTTCGCCGCAATCTACCTGTTCTCTGGTCGCACGTTAGGCCTGGCCGTCGTTTTTACTACCAATTACGTCGCCGCATTAATTTGCACCGTCTCTTGCATCCAATCGCGTGGAATGTCAGTCTGCGACAATTGCCTCATTATTGCTCACAGTTTCACCGTTTCGTTTAGACAGAAGAAAACGACATAAACCTTGGCGACAGGTGAAAGAATTGACAGATTAGGTTGGCAGGTCTGTGTGCGTCTAAATATATGAATGGAAATGTATGCCTGTTAATATCGAAACCTATAAACCTCGAAAGAGACTATATTAAGAATCGTAGCATCATGTTCTCGTACAACTGTAGATATCGCTTGTCGTCACACATCGATACCTGTATCTTTTCATTTTATCGTATCGTATCCATAAAACCGACTGCAAACATTTTCCAGCGGTCATGTCAACATTACATCATCGATCATTCGTAACTCCCGCTTGATAGCTCGATGAATTAATATCAAGAGAAAAAAACAATTCATCTGCTTTCCAAATATTGGGTAATAACAGAAAAAAAATCCAATCGAAATTGTTTTAATTCTCCATTGTAGCGTGCTTTATCATTTGTTATATTATTGTTATGTTCTTTATCTCGTTTAATTTATCCCTGTATTATTGGAATATTGTGCATCAGTGATTAACAGAATCATCGGTTCGGAATTATTTCATTCACGCGATCAATTTCGGAATTTATCTCTGGATGTGCACAGTGAAACGATATATTTCGAATCGTTTGAATTGCCGAGCGCAATAAAATTAACACGTTCATCGTGACGATTGTCGTTAACTCGATATAACAGGCGTGAAAAACATACTTATAAGTTTTTATCTACGTTTGTCAATACGATATAAGCTGGTATCTACGATTCCTGTCAATTGTTACAATCAGATTTGGATTATAACAGCCAGTGTAAACATGGAACGTATCATCAGCGCGACGACACATCGTGTAACGAACGTGGCAATGAACATTTTAATCGTCTTTCAATCGTCTTTTGCAACAGAGTGAACTATCAACTTAGCGCGAGCGCGATCAAGGCCGAATCGACGGTGTTGACGTAGTTAATCGGCGAGCGACAAATGAGGAGCTAACGTCGCCTCGGTCTCTTCGCCAGGAACAGATCCCCGAGGAGGAAGAACGTTACATAATCGAATCGACGTCACGCCCGCGAGTTACGAGTTACGAGCCGTCCACATTTTTTTCTCACCTTGCGCTTTTTCTACTACTGCGCTCGCTGTCCGACGTGTGATCGGCGGCGGTATCCAGGGTGAGCGACGGGACGCAATATATATCCCAGGGGACTATCTCGTCGAGTCATGTGAAAAACATCCTCTTTGCGAGCCGGCGATGACGAGCCAAGATCCCGTGACATCGGCGACGTGGACGACGCTGCAGACACGTGACGTACATTGATATTCCGCGGTATGGATCACCACCACTGGGCACGAGAGAAACAGATCAGTAGCAATAACGGCGAACGGGAGAAACGCACGAGGAGCACGCTCGCCGAGCTCGTGGTATACCGGCACTAACGTATCACTTCACACTCGTGGACGCGTTCTTCGCGTGACCGCACATTATTTCTACACTACGAAGATGAACGAAAATCCTGCCGGTCGGAACTCTGATATCTTCGAGGATTTCACCGTTGTTCGCGATCAGCCTCCTTTTCACGATCTCCTCCTCGTCATCACGTTTCGTCTCGCTGCTCTTCTGTTCGCGCGACGTCACACACGTGGTTTTGCTCGTGTTGCACGCACGCACGCACGCACGCACGCACGCAACGAGTAAATGTGTACGCACACCATGCAACGCGCCTCTTCGATTTAGATCACC